AAGACTCAAACCTCGGTTACCTCAGGACATCCTACTAGATCCCAATGAAGACACCTCAACCTCAGACCCAGACTCATAGCTTACCAGATCTATTAAACCAATTATACATTACATAATTAATTATATAATAATATAATATTATAATATTACTATTATAATTTAAAAAAAAAAAATAAAAATTCACAAAGATTACTTTTACATCAGTCATCAAAAATAATGGGGAGGATGGTGGTAGCTTGTTCGTAGCCCTCCCTGCATGCGTTTAGTTGTATGTGATTCCGGCATAAAACTAACGTATCAATACCACCACTAGGCACTCATACCTAGCAACCCAAATCAACGCCACTGTTAGCGATGACAAATAAAAATGGTCCTTTTAAGGACCACCTAACGCTAAGTATTGGTGGCGAACTCAGGGTGTGCCACTTCAATATTGAAGGAATTTCAAAATCAAAATGTGAAGTTTTGTCAAAAATTATAAATAAAGAAAGGGTCGATGTAATCGCACTACAAGAAACCAACACATTAAACGATGAGGATATAGGAAAAAAGGGATTCATACAAGGTTACCTGCTACTCGGAGCGATACACCACAAACAATACAGTGTGGCAACATATATTAAAGAAGATACGTGGCATAGATACGTGCCGGATTATTTTCGAAGATAACCAAGATGACATCCACGTACTGGCAGCCCTCATAGGGACTGTGACTGTCGCTAATATATACAAGGCATAAGCCTTATAGGCTCGTATAAGCCACCTAACACCCAATAGAAGTCCCCTACAATTAAAACATTCGATCATCCTGCCTTATACGTAGGAGATTTTAACAGTCACAGTCTGGAATGGGGGTATGATGAAAATGATGCTAATGGAAACAAACTTCAGGAATGGATGGCCCTACGCAACATGAAACTCATATATAACGCCAAAGATAGGGGTACTTTCCGGTCAGCAAGGAGGTTAAAAGACTATACTCCGGACTTAAGCATAGCTTCTAGGACCTCCTTAAGCGACAACACTATGGTAACGAGACACATCCTGGGAAATTTCCCACATAGTCAGCACCGTCCGATATTGCTAAACTACGGACTACAGATCCCATTGATA